GTTGAACTACAAATCAAAGTAGAGCCTGCTAGTAAATCTGATCAGAATTAAACACTTCCTTAGAAATTTGCAGTTGAACAAATGACATATCTCACCCTCTCAACATTCTCTTGAAAGAAGGGAGTTAACCTGAAATATCTCGTCAGTGTATAGAAGTGAGGTACCTGAGACATTCAAGTTGGCAGTCCAGACTTCGGAGGGGAGTTTATTTTTACACTGATAATTATAATTCCTATTTCCAGAGACCACATTAGCCCTAATGCCTGAAAAACTTAGGCAACCATCACAAAAATTTTGTTATTGCATATTTCACCTTTTAGCCACTCCATTCCCCATTTTTTGGGAGGCTTTCCAGTCTTCGTAAGCTATTGCTGCAGTGTCACTGTTCTCCATCTGCTGCTCTTAAAATTGGAAATTGACTGCCTCCAGGGTTTACAAATGTTTCTTCTTACCTTAGATAATTTGAACTTCTAAGCAGCCACAAGATTTTTTCAGACTTTTCAAGGAAGGCCTTGTTTTTAAGATCTGTAATTCCCCTGCTCTCTCCTCTCCGCTCGCAAGGAAAGTCACCTAGGTTCCCCTTATGCAGGGTTAGAGGGCTTTTGAGTAACCCGTTCTTCATTCAGAGCCTTCCACTCAGACTCAAGCTTGTGTCCCCACATAGGCCATATGTCTGGGAACCCTTCCATACCTCATGGTGAGTTTTCAGCCCTTCTGAGGTGCTTTCCTTTTCTTTTATCAAGTTATGGAAACTTTCATCATTCTTTTATCTTTTTCTTTTTTTTTTTTTTTGCGGTACTCGGGCCTCTCACTGTCGTGGCCTCTCCCGTTGCGGAGCACAGGCTCCGAACGCGCAGGCTCAGCGGCCATGGCTCACGGGCCCAGCCACTCCGTGGCATGTGGGATCCTCCCGGACCAGGGCACGAACCCGTGTCCCCTGCACCGGCAGGCGGACTCTCAACCACTGCGGCACCAGGGAAGCCCCATTCTTTTACCTTTGAAAATCTTTGCAGTAGAGATGAGATGATCATCATTTCCTTCACCGGTCATATCCTCCTTACCAACATCCCGTTTCCACACAATTTGCTCTCTTCTTCCCTGACTGCTGAGACTGTCCCATGCAACTACCCCTCCCTCCCTACCAGAGTCATTGTTGCTATACCTGATTGGACCAGGGGTGGATAGCTGATACCAGAGGTAACAAGCTGTGTGTTGTGCTAAGATTTTGTCTTTGAACTGAGGATGCTGAGACTGAGTCAGTTTCTGTTGAGGGCTTGAATCAGGAGGGCATGTAAAACCAGGGTAAGTAGATCAGATACGGATGGTCTACAGAGAGGAATAAAGCCGACCTTGTCTGTTCTGTTCATCTCTGCACTCTTACCACCTAGCATGGTGCCTGACATAGTAGGCTTTCATTAAGTCTTGGTGGAATGAATGAAGCAGACTGTGGAGTGAGAGAGAGAGATTATTTTTGCCTCCAACAAATTTCCATGTCCTGATTGTAATCCCTCATGAAGACTATCTTCATTTTCTGTCCTTACGTCCATGAGATATCACTGTGTCCACCCAATAATTTCCCCTTTATGTTAAAGCTAGTTTGGGTATGTTCTGTTCCTTGCAGCTAAATTAAACTGAAGAATCTCCTAATTCAGTCTTTAAAGTCTTCTTGTCCCCAGGGAACTATGGTTTCTCATGCAAACTAGTTATTTCGGTAGCCTATCCAAAAATTACTGGATTCCAGAAGTGGGCATGCCTCCACTTTGCCCAAGTGAACCTCACCTTTGGGGACAGAAAAGAATAGAAACTCAAATTCAACTAAAAATAAAGAAAATACCTCCCCAAATAAATCTTGTTCTTCTAAAAAGGCAAACTCTGAAGAAAAATATGACAGAAACTGCAAATTGAGGATCCTTTAGGAGAGAGGGTTGGACCTTAGGCATTGTTGATTGAACACGACTTTAAATTTAAAGTCAGTGGAGAGGGTCAGATATGCTCAGGACACACTTGCCAACCTAAGCTCCAGGAAGAGGGAGAAGAAGAGTGGGTCACAGCTTTACCCCGGACTTCTGGCATGCTTCTGGAATACTACTGGACTAGCTCGATGCAAGAGACTGCTTCGCAGTTTCTGGTTGTACTCTTCGCTGTTGTACAGCACGTTGAGGAAAAAGGTTATTCTTTCCTGCTCCCTGCCTGGGAGGACACATATTTATATGTTTACCTCAAAGGCAGGGGAGTAGTTGAAAAATACATAGGCAGTCATCGTAGGCTTGAAACACAGAAAAATGGAATCCTTGGGGGCAGTATGGTGGGTTTTTCAAGAGCATAGATTTGAAGTGAGACAGATCTCCAACTCACTAACTAGCTCTATGTCCTTGGCTAAGCTGCTTAATCTCTTAGAACCTCAGATTTCTCATCTACAAAATGAGAATAAAAGTACTTCATAAATGTGCTGTAAGTATTAAATTAGATAATGTTTATAAGTTCTTAGGCCAATGGTACCAAGCTAAGGGCTCAGTAAATGGTAGGGATGATTAGGATTATTAGTGCGTTGTAATACAAGCATTGATGAATGTGTGTTATTTTTATGTTAACCAGAAGGAAGGTTGTATTTTTTTAAGTTAAGAAACATGACACTAAAACATGTATTTCATAGCTCCTCTTCACTGTTACCTTTTTAACGTAAATCCCTGCGTGTAGACAGATGTCAAAGAAGAGTCCAGGAAATATCTAAGACAGTAGTTATGCACTAAATAGCCATCAGTTGTGGTTATCAATCAACAGCAGTATAAACTCCCCCAAAAGGAGGCACATGTGAATCCTCCCATGCAATCTTCTCAAAAGCAATTGTAAATTGTATGACCTGCAGATGGCGAACTTGGATCGGGTGAGTATTAAGCAATGACTACCTAGAAAAGAAAGCAGTGGTTTTTGTTTTGTTGAATGGAGGGCTAAGTAAAGTGGATACGTTAATAAAGGCTGTACAAGCCAAAAGCATCCTTTGCCGACACACTGGGTTCCTTCTTCCAAGGGGACCATTAATCTGTCTGTCAAAGTGAGTCCACCCTCAATCATATGTGCTGTGAGAGACAAGTCTGCATTTGCTTCTGGTAGAAATGTTTTGTTGAGTATTCATGCTGGTTGCTAGTCACTGATACAAAGAAAAGGAGTATCAAGTAGGGAACATCAATAGATTTCTTGTAAGTCTCTTGAGGGGTACAGAAATGTTACCTTCTCAGAATATCCATATGTAACACTATTTAATTATCTGAACCCGTTGTACATGTCCAAAGAGTCCACATGTTTTGATGTGTATAAGTAATTATATCCTCCCTTGCTTGGTTACGCCACTGTTGAGTATTTGTTCTGTACCCTCCCCAAGGCAATCCTGTAGGGACCAATTACCATCCTTTAGTGACATCATTTCACTGGCTGAAGGAAATTTCTAGAGTACCACATTGGGCATTCAGGACTCCTAAGGGAGCTCTGTAGTACTTTGTATAATCTATGTGCCCTACCTTCTGGAGAAACATATTTTTTTCCTCAAAATTCTACTTTGGAGTACAGGTTTTACTATCCCAGATCACAACTACATGAGTTTGTGGGAAAATTAGTGTGACTTTCCCAAACTGCCTGTTCCTGCAGTGGCCTGAGATGTTTTGTTGGTTCTTTCAGTTGTGAAAAAGCTCAGCAACTCACCCAACATGATGGATTGATGACTTTTTGCTGCATTATAAAGCAGGGTCACTGTCCCCAAAGAGCCTCTCAGCTTGTGGGTCAGGTGAAGGGACATCTCTAGGCCTCTATAGTGCCTCTGCCTTGTCACTTATCATGAGGCTGTAATTATTGTCTACATATCAGCCTCCCCACAACTATGTACTTCTAGAGCCCAGAAACAGTACCATGTTCATCTCTTTATCCTTAAACATTTTGTGTCTGGCACATAGTAGGTACTTACAAGAATGTTGAATGAATTAAAGAATAAATATATGTGCTTGGGTAGAACAAGCAGCCAGGAAGGAGGAAAGGTCAATTTAGGGGAAAAAAAGAGGAAGATAGTCCACCTACCCATGAGGGATTGTACCTATATTAGACAAGTATTATTCCTAAAGAATAGAAAAAGAGGAAAGAGCAGTGGATTGTGTGCAGCCTAATCCTTTTATTTTTACTAACCAAACTCTCAAGAGACTGACGTATACACCAGCATCCTGGTTGACTATTGCCAGTGGAGAGCACATCTCTCCAGAGATTGCATTGTGTCCCAATTCCATGTATTTCACATCTTCATTCGTTTCACAATGCAGACTACTAACCACTATACGGTCACGGCATCTTCATTCATTTCAAAAGGAAGAAAGTCCCTAGCTCTCAGGATGAGGCAATTCTGGTTTTCAGGCAACTTCTAAAAGCTTCTAAAACGTTGTAGTTAGTCTAAGCCATGGTAAATAGAGAAGTTATCAGAAAATTCAGAAATTATAAGATCTTATTTAAGAGTGGATTTGGGTCTAAAGGCACCCACTGGTATAAGACAGAACCTAGAGGATGGGACTGAGGAACAGTCAGAAACAGACTCTGAAAGACAGTCCAAATAAGAGGAGCCACACATCACATAAGTGTTGCCCATGGAATTGACAATGGGCATCTGACATGAAATAATAGGGATGGTCGAGGATATGAGGACCGTGCGCAGTGAAGAGGAGTGGCACTGTTGCACCTGCACATGGTAAGCACCCAACAAATCCTGGTTGAGTGAACAGGTCATTCTGTGGCTCAGCTGCTGCTAAGGGAAGTCATGAACTGCTTTGCTAAAGGCAGGGTTTATCTATAAATAGGAACCAAAGTGACATGCACCATTAAAAGTGGGTATAAACTAGTGCAGGAAAAGTTAAAGTGAAAAGCACTGATCAGAAACCATTTAGAAGAAAGGAAGGAAGCAGTGTCTGGAAACCTGAAGTGAATGAATCATTACAATGGAGTTTATAGGAATCTCTGAGCTTCTAGACAACCAGTTTGAAAGAGGAACATGCTAGATTGTACTGTTCTCATGAGTCAGTAAAGTGTGTAAATTCATCTGGAAGTGCAGACTCATTCTTAGAACTTAATTCTAGAAAGAATTTATTGTGTAGACAGTTAAATAAGAAAAAGAAGATGACATTTGATAAGTTTTGCGAAAGCTACATATATATTATTCACGGACTAAACTATAAAGATCATCACCACCGACACAGCCTAGGTAAAATGATAGGTGAAAAGAGATGGGGAAAAAACAAATAGATTACTGTATGAACATATACACTACCATGAAAGCAAGAGAATATAAATATTGACCACAGCTCCCCTTTTTGCAACTATTATGAGGCTAGATTTATAGCTTCCTTAATGCACTCTCAGTAAGGGGAGGAAGCGTAGTATGAGAGGTTCTACTCCCAGTTCTTCCCTATGATCCCTGGATCCATGTGATCTGTCCTTGGGTGAAACACACCATATATTGGTTATTGATTTGGAGCATACACCATTTTCTCTATGCCAGTACCCCAACTTCATAAGATGTCCTCCAGCTGGCTCTGTGAGTCTTTGTAACAGACTATTGCACTTCTCTACAAGGCCAGCTCCTCCTGGGTTACGGTAAAACCAATGAATCCTGTGGGAATCCTATAGCACTCTTGGCCAGAAGTAATAGTATATGGATTACTGTGGGCTGAATAAGCTTTCAGTAAGTTCACAGAAAGTTTTGCTCATAGAAGCATAACAGGGAAGTAAAATCTATATGCATAACATATTCGAGTGAGAAAAATTGCTACCAAGTCCACAGTGAAAGAGGTTCAGTATAATCAGTCAGCAGGAGGCTAGCCACGCCACCCTGTTCCCCACACTTGGAGCTGTATGGAGGGCTCAGCATGGGTTTCTGCTGCTGGCATTTTAAGCGTTCAATTGAGGTGGTTGCTGGATCTGCCTTGGTAACAAGTTCTCGTGGCTGAGCCCATGGATAACCTCCATCTCTGTCACCACGGCCACTTTGATTTTGAACCTACTGAGGAATAGTCGTGTTTCTGGGGAGAAAGGATAGCTGACATTTGCAGTACTGAGCTTCCTGCCCATCTGATTATTGAGTCTCCTCTGTAGTGAGAGCTCTTTGCTGAGCATTCACATGAGGCGCAATATTCTCACAGCGTGAACCTATTTTGAGAGGTGTATACGTGTACCTCTACCCTAAACCTCCTTGTCATCCAATCTTGTTGCTTCCAACTTGCTCATCATTGAAACAAACCTTTAGGCTCTATGTATAAATCTTCACTATGATGATCTTTCTTTCTAGGTAAAATATACAATTAGATGTACTTCTCAAAGTTCTGCTTATTGTGAAGATTTATCTTCCTACTTGTCCTTCATGGCCAACAGTGTGGAAAACTCTAATGCTGCATCAATTTATTTATGGCCATTGCCAGTATATTATGCATAATCATTTGTAAATCACTCTTGAACTGTTTCGTCCCTGTCCATAAGGTAGTCCCTTATATGTGTGGGTCCAGGAAGAGGTGGCATTACAGCAAGATTAGGGGCCACGAGAGTTGGAGCCATTTGCTCATGAAAGTTTCTTGTGCTTCTAGAACGTGGTTGAGGGTGACCTTGTATGTGCCATTTCATCTTGATGATGGAGAGCTGCTCTGCACATCCAAATTTAACAATAGGTCCGTCAAACAGCATCTAATTTGGGAGAGACAGCACAGGTATCATTATCAGTTCATTTCCCATGACCAGATATTCAGTCTTTACAGAAAAAAACAGAAGTTTCTTGAGGACATTAGTTATTTGTCAGAGAGGTATGGCTTTGCTGTCAGTTCTAGGGGCTGTACTATTATTGTGTTATTTGGAAATTCCATGGGCTCAATGATCTGCTACAGAATGTTGTACACATTAGATTTCCTGGGTCACAAGAGCTAAGTGGCAAGAGTGGCTTTTTCTTTAAACTGAACTGGCTGAAGAATATTCATTTGCATTGAGTCTTCCTTAAATATAGAAGCCTTATGGCTTATTCAATAAGTAGGAGGGAGCAACACCAATGTAATATTATTTTGCCTCTCTTATACTAGAATCCCACCAAATGTGTGTGCCTCTTTCTTTGTGGAACTGGATACAAGGTGCAGCAAATTGTCTTTTAGTTTGGAGGGGATACCTCAGTGCACCCCAGATCTCTAGACTCCCAGAAACATCAGTGAATTAATAGATCTCTGAACTCTCGTGGAATTTGTCTCTTATCCTCAGTTACATGTGTGTCTTACCAAGGCGTCTTATGTATTTTCTACTTTCTAACCAAATTGTGATAACCAATCCCACCTAATGAAACAGCACAGTGAATCTAGAATCTCTGGTAAATGTACCCATGTTAATCATTTTGACCCAAGGGAGCTCTATGTTCCTTTCTCCTTCCTTAGTGTAGCATTTTAGAATTTATTTTCACACACATTCCCCTAGTTTCTGTTGATATTAATATAAGTCAGAAAAAAATCATGCAATTTTTTTTTGGTGTGTAAGCCCACTCCTCCAGGTGTAACTTGGTCAGACTCTTTTTCTGCTATTTAGATACCTCAGTTTTAAAAGGTAAGACATTACAGCTTCATAATTTTTTTCCTTTCCCTTTCTTCCTCTCTCTCGCTCTCTCTTTCTTTCTTTTTTTGGAAACCAGAATAAATTGGCTTTATTTTTATTTATTTTATTGTTTAACTTAACATACAGTAAAATTGACCTTTAGTTTGGTCTTTATTTTATAATTTTAACACATATATAGATCTGCGTAACCAACATACAGTGGGGATAGATAGGGAAGTACCCTGCATAATGGAAAGTAGGCTCACTAATAGAGTGGGTAAAATGAGATTCAGATAGATGTCTTTAAGCATTCGATCAGGGGAGGACAGCAGACAGAAATTACAGTTTGAGGTATGAATTCTGATGTGTAAAACAAAAAGCTTTAACAGCGAGCAAGTTACTTAATTTCCTTGAGCCTCATTTGCCTCTTTTGTAAATAGGGATAACCAAAAATTAATGAATGAAACTTATTAGCTAAATACAATTTTTAACATCTTTATTGAGATATAATTTACATACCATAAAAGTTACTCATTTAACAGTACAATTAAATTCTTCTTAGTAAATTTACCAAGTTATGCAAATATCACCAAAATCCAGTTTTAGAGCATTTTAATCACCCAGTGTTCCCTCATGCTCATTTACATTTAATCCTTGTTCCTATCCCCAGCCCTCGTTCTACTCCATTAATCCTCTTTCTATATCTCTTGACTTGCCTTTTCTTAAAATTTCTTATAAATGGAATCACAAAATATGTGGCCTTTTGTGTCTGGCTTCTTTTACTTAGCATGTTTCTGAGGTTCGTTTATGTTGTAGCAAGTTCCTTTTTACTGCTGAATAATATTCTGTTGTATGGGTATGCTACACTTTCGTTTCATCAGCTGATGGACATTGGGGTTGTTTATTAAAAGTATAGATGATTTAGGAGAGGATGACATCTTTAAAATATTAAGGCTTTGAAACCATAAATATTATTTGGTTGGTTGTTCTTTTGTTCACCTCAGTAAAGCTTTCTTTCCTCTTATGGCTCAGATTCACCTCTTATTAAATTTACACTTGGCAGTTTATATTTTGGAGATGTGAGTGGGCAACAACTGTGTCTACTATAGTTATCTTTAGTTATCTTTTTTTTCATTGTCTTGGTCGGATATTAATAGTAGTGTTATGTCAGCCTCATAAAATGAACTGGAAATGTCTTTTACACTTTCCTGTCTTCTGTAATAATTTAAATATCCTGGAAATCACATAAATCTGAAAGATTTGGTGGAAATTGACACCTTTCTTTTGAAAGTAAGAGAATTTTTTCACTTATTATTAGTCTTAATTATATTCTAGATTTTTTTTCAGTTTTGATAGTAAATCAGAATTATCCTAGAGGGCTTCCCTGGTGGCGCTGTGGTTGAGAGTCCGCCTGCCGGTGCAGGGGACGTGGGTTCGTGCCCTGGTCCGGGAAGATCCCACATGCCACATGGAGCGGATGGTCCCGTGAGCCATGGCCGCTGAGCCTGCGCGTCCGGAGCCTGTGCTCCGCAACAGGAGAGGCCACAGCAGTGAGAGGCCCACAGCAGTGAGAGGCCTGCGTACCGCCAAAAAAAAAAAAAATTAGAAGTGTGGGGGGAAAAGTGACGCTAAACAGACACTCAGGAAGAAATGTAAGAGAGAATAGGAAAATCACCCAGAAAGAGGTGCCTTAACAGCTTTAAAGTGGTACAGACACAGAAGGAGGCACGCCACCTAGGAAAGGTATTTGCTAATGTCTGGATGACTATAATAAAATCTTTCAGAGTATGTTTTACCTTGGAAATTACTGGAATATAAGAATAAGCAGAGAATTATACTAATTATAAATGAGGCTTTAGTCTGAATTTAGGTATTGCCAGGATTAAAGCAAGGGGTACAGCAAGAAAACGTACAGCAAAGTTTTCTTTGGTGTCTGGAAGTGCCAAAGTTGCCTACAGCAACAGAAATAATTGGTTGCCTGCCTCACGGCTCAGTCACCTCAGAAGAGCAGGCAAATAATTCCTGCCACTTAGTAGGTGTACGGCAAATCCAGGCCTATTTTACTCCAAGCGCTGAGTTCTTTCCATTGTTCCAAAAAGACTTTCTGGCACATGCTTGTGAAGAAAATGGCGAAATGAAATACGGAACACTGTTGTGAATTGTATTTTAACTTGCACACACGTTCAAAAATATTTGAAACTACCTATAAAGAGACACATTCATATGTCTAGAACTACTAAGCCAGTGGTAAAGAATGTGGACCAAGTAACAAAGGGTCTGGGTTAGATGGTTTGTACAAGATTATCTAAGTGAAGGACAGCATGGAACTGATCACAAAATCTGAGTTTCCTGGGAGTAAAGGCGAAAAGGGACAATATGATGAGGTTTAGATTCTCATAGTCTAATAAAAAGAAATATTTCCATTTGGTATGAAAATCAAAGTGTCTCCTGTTTTAATCATAGGAAAATTTACCATGTGGCACTTTAAGTAAAATAACATTAAGCAGTATAATGGACATCTTCAATAGCAATTTTTACCAAATAATTATTTTCAAAATTACAATTTATAAACCATTTTTTACAATTTAATTATAATCAAATAAGAAAAACAAGATCAATTTTATTTATAGTACAATCTAAGCATTAGTAAGGGAATATCATCAGTAGAAGGATGTACTCTTGTTTTTAACTAAAAAATTACATTTTCTGCAATGTTGTACAACTTTTAGTTTGTTATATTTTGTTGAAATTGGATACTGGATTATCTATCTGCTGCATAGATAATGCTAGCTAAGTCATCTTTGTCTGCGGAGAAGTGAGCTACTACAAATGACTTCATCTAAATGTTTAATGTTATCCTATAAAAATAGGGTAAAGAAAAGAAGACCTGTGGCATCACTGAGTCTCTTTCCTCTGATTATCCATGATCAGATTCTCTAGATGAAAGATGTGGTTAGCACTTGATGCTAATCAAAGGACCCAAAATACTTGGATATAGTTCATTTTAATCTTAGTTGAAAACATTGTGGATAGACACTTAGGAAAAAGTGAAATCAGCATAACATCTCTTCAAGTACAATCCAGCTTTCAGAGTGGTAACGTGGATTTCGGCCTTCTCATAATTCTCCTTGATGAAAACAGAAGGATTTCACAGCACAGAAAGCAGTGGTTTATGAGTCTGGGTACAGGGGACGCACAAGAGAACTCTGTTCATCGTCTTCAAAGTGATGCAACGATGGCACGGCTGCTGCTGTGGCTACATGTAATATAGCCTGTAGCTCTTTAAAGAGGATTAGCTTTAGTGTGCTGGGAGCATTCAATGCTGGATTTCACGTAGAGTAGAATATGCTAATGAAATGTAAATATCTATGGCAAACATGGCATAATATCGAAAACCCTCAAAACTGAGCTTTGTCTCTTGCACAGTGGGAAACCAAACTTTATCATATCAGAAGAAAAACTAAAAGAGAAACAACCTTTTACTCTTCTGCCTATGCATCTGCTGCTATGAAAAGTGAATTTAAATATATACTCATATTTGAACTAAATTAAGTTGCCATGTCAGTAGAAAAACGAAAGTTCAGTCATTCAAAAACATCCTACTAGATCTGTGTCCAGAGATGAACGTGAAATAATTCATCTTTGTAGAAAAGGATATACATATAATATGAATTTTAAAAAATATTTTAACACTATTTTTTAAACACTATTTTAGGATTACAGAGGGCTTGCAGAGTGGGTCTTTTCCCCATTTCACCTTAAAATTTCTTGCTTGCAGTTTTAACTTTTTGCCTGCACAATGTCTTTCTGCTCAATATTGGACAAATGCATCTTTATCATAGTTTTCCATATAGTGTTTTTACTACTTTCATAGGAAGCCAATGTGAGATTTGATCGGTTTCTTAAAACTGCACGTATACTTAGTTAATATGAAAATTATTTTCACATATTTAGAATTTCAGACCATATCTGGCATTGGGAAGGTGAATTCATTATAAGGTGTGTGCTTTGCAAACCATGTAACTGTGTGTAGCCTCTTGGAATCTATAGACGTGGTTCCCAAAGATTGAAAAGCCCCCTAAAGATTTCATCTCAATTGCTGGGAAATAAAGATCCTG